TTTTAAAAAAAAAAAAAAAGAATGATGAAAAGCCCACTTCACAGCTTATCCCAGCTACAAAAAAAGAAGACTTATCTTTTTTAGTAAGATTCCAACATCAGAGAAAAAGATAAATTAATGTAATACACCTTTTAGAGATCAACATCAGACATGCTAGGACAAAAACAAAAAAAAAAAAAAAAAAAGGTTTGAAGGAATGAGACGGCGGTCTTCTTTTTAAATAACAGAAGAGGGCGTGGTCTGGAAGTGGGTTGATCTTAAAGGGTGCGGGTAGGTGTGGCAGCTATTTTCAAAAACCATAGAGTTGGCCACTGCGTCTCTAGCAGCTGTAACTTTGGAAAAGAACGGTAATTCCCATCTGTTGGGCTTGAAATTCTCCATGAAAATGGCATCTTCCAGCCCTTCTGCTCAATCAACCATCAGAGTGACAGAACTTGGTACATATTTGGTACTTGGTACCAGGGATACTGAGCAATCTTTAGTCTCTGAAGATTGTGAGATTCATAATGTTCCCGATGATGCTGACATCGTGCTTTAAATGTAGTTCTCCTGTGCTGACTGAAACGTGCATGTTTACAGCAGTTAACGTGCAAGAAACTAGTCTTGCACAGTGGGATAATGGAGTGACAGGATTCATCACAGTTGAAAACAGCTGTCCGTGTGCACAGGCCATCCTGAGATCCTAAAAAGATTTTCAGATTTTCAGAAGAAAGAACACGTTGCTCTTAGCAATACTGTCTAGAACATTTCTTGCTCCACCTCTTCTTCAACCCTGTCTGTTCCCTGCACGACTCCAGCCAGACATACAAAAAACCACAAAAAAAATCCTACTGAGTCCACATCACACACATGCACACGCAGCCTCACACACAAGAACACAAATACCATAAAACATCCATGCACGTACGAACTATTTACTCAATCCTGCAAGAGGAGTGTAGGATTTAAATGTATGTATGATATTTAAATTTGTATAAGCTGTAGATGTTTTTTACAAAAAAAGTTGTATGAGTCGGTGGAGGGGGCCCTCCGTGTTCTGGTTACCAGCACCGACCTTTGCAGTGAGCAGCTTCGGTTACGTGCAGCCCGAGTTTTTTCACCCGCGCTGAGGACAAAAGAAAAAAAACAAAAAAAAAAAACGAAGTTCTGTAAACACACCTATGTGCATCTCCGATAGTTCCTTCACAATAAAAGCATCAAGCTGAATCACCATTTCAAAGCTTTTAACTTGAAGTAAGAAACGCCGGAAATGTCTCGTCGGCATTCACAATAGCGCTGAGACGTAAACAGTCCTTCACAGCGAAATGTCTTGAAGGTACAAAGACGAGAGGAGACAGGCGGGAGTTTGTGGCACAACACTGGCACGTGCTGACCGTGACCGAGCACGAGCAGCATTAGAGTGATGATGGGTGTAAAAAAAACAATGAGCACGAGTTTTCACGTAGATTGCACTGTACACAGTATTATATTAATGTACAGTATGCATAGAGATATGTGAAGTGAATTTCAAGTGCATGTAGGCTAAATATTAAAAGGCCGCTTTATGAGTTTACCTAAAATAAAAGTATTCATGCAGAACAGTCAGTTTTACTAGTTCACCGGTTGTTGTTTATGAGAAGTGATAGAGGAAAGCTCATGACGTCCCTAAATTAAAATCCAGTTTAGTCAAATTATCTGTGCAGATGAGTGAAAAGGAGATATATTCACCAGACCATAGGTAACTTTCAATAAAATGGGTCTCATATATTAACTGTAAAGCATGATGAGGAAATGGTCAGTGTGCAGTCAATGACTAAACGATTCAATTAATCTATTCAGAGAGCTCAGGATAACTTGACTAAAAGATGAAGATGATCTGGACCTTTCAACAGGACGATGAAAATTTAGGAAAGGAAAGGAAATCCTTTTCAAAAATCCCATTAAAACTTTGAGCGAAAACCCTTAAACACTCTGGCACAGAGACGATTTTCATGGACCGGTTTTCAGTTTGTGTTATGCGTATAAGTCATTTCTGCCTAAGTGGGTGATGTTGTTTACTACCAGTGGTGTACTTTTGTCAGTTAGAGAGGGTTTTCTGTTTTTTCTCATCCTTCGTGTGTGTGTGTGTGTGTGTGTGTGTGTGTGTGTGTGTGTGTGTGCGCGCGCAGTCGGGAGGGGGGAAAGTTGGGGTATCCAATTTCCTTTTTTTTTGGGCGCCTTCTTGTGAGGGCTGTCTGTTTTCCACATTCTACAATGGAAAAATACGACTTAGAGGTGGATATTTGTTTTACTTTATGGGCAACAGTTGTCTGCCCTTGTTCTTGCTCGTCTCCTGTTGACAAAACTCGCCTCATGGTTGACTCTGAGGAAAAAAACTCTTTCCCCACAGAGGGGAATAAACTTATTCAAATATGAGCTTTTTTCCACTAAGGCTTATTTTATGGGGAGATGTACGAAATTATTTACCGGGTTACAAGCAATGATAATATCGGCTGTTGACTCCTCAGCGTCATCATTTTCATTTTCTGTCTACTGAGAAAACTCATTGTAAAAGTAATGAAGAAAAAAACTCTACCGCTGTCTCATTCCTCCTTGACCCGCGGTGTGTGTGTGAAACAAGATCGCCTGTCACGGCAATTATGGTTTGTTTTTCAGTCCCTTGTAAAAGGGATTCTCAAAAGGAAAAGTAGTATTCAAAGAAAAGTATTCACTAAGGGATATTTATTCATTTTTACACATACGGGGTAGGCAGCCTGTAGGTTACAAGCGGATAGAAAGTTCTTCTTTTCATCACAAGCTATGGTGTAGCCTAAAAATGCAATTTGTTGCTAGGCAGATCATCTTAAAGTTTTTTTACTGCGTCTGTATTATAGGAAAATAAAATACTATTGAAAGAAACGGTTCTCTACAGGAAGTCACTCTTTTTTCCCATTACAAGCGCCGGTGCATCTTAAGAAAGTAAAATTACATCCGCTATTGTAAAAAAAAAATAAAAATAAAAATACAGAGAAAATTGTCATAATATTGAAACAGAATTCAAACTATGAGTTTGTGGAAAACTAACTGCCGCTCTGTCTCTCTATACAGCACAGAGTCAACTGCTGCATCACCGCTGTGCTTCAGCAACCATACCCCTCCCCTCATGCTTAAGGAACATGACGCATCAGGTCTGAAAATGACTAGACAATTCCGGAGTATTTCCGGTAGGGTCGCAAGGTCTGGATCGAGGCCTTCCATAGTAAATATGCTGTATTTGAATATGTCATACTCAAAGCCTTCTTTCCGCGGAGCGGCGGTTGCTTCGGATCTGTTACTGTATACGGGGGTGTCGCTGATAATCGACGAGGACCACTCGCTGCTGCTGCCTCCCATGCTAGCGGCCTCGGGAGAGCAGATCTCTTCGCCGTCCAAGTACACAGGAACGCTGCTGGGCTGCAGAATGAAAGGATCCATCTTGCGTCTGTGCCTAGAAATTGTGACGCCTCCTCTCTGCTTTTTATTCCCCTCCCCTGCCGCAGACCCTCCCTCCCTCTAAAAACTTTTTTCTTTTTTTTTCCAACAACAGGTGGCGCGCTTCCGGGGGTTTCCCCCTCCCTTCTCCGGATGCAATTCGTCACGCTTAGGGGATCAAATTACACACTTCCGGGGGGAAGGGGGGAGGTCAAAAGGTCATGATTAGGGTCATCAATCAAATCGAATCAAATTTTGTCATAAGCTGTATGGGAGTATCTCTCTCAGGGAACGTTGACCTCTTTCAGGTTAAACAAATATCCTGCTACAAAGCATCAAACTGATATTTATTGTCACTACGAAACCTTTACCTCAAACAAAATGAGTGTAGGCCGATTACATCGCTTTCTTTTGTGGATGGGAATGAGGACAACCATGAAATGCTGGAAATGATCTTGTCAGAACAGGTTTTCAGAAGTAGGTAAAGTTAATTGGTGATTTTCATGACAGGTGAGGGTTATGCATGATTATTTATCTGTTGTTTGTTTTCTTCCCATATGCACCCCTCCCACAAATGCACACAAAAGTACCCACATTCAGTTGTATACACACTTACATGCAGTGTGTACGTTTCTGTGTATACATGTCACGTAGGACTTCCAGTGTGCCTTGTCTTGCTCTGTCTTATCTCTGATTTGATCTTGTTGTGTATCTGTCTCTGTTGTCTCGGTCAAACAAAAGTATAGCACAGAATACACTCACTCATGTGTATGTGTCAATCACATGGTAGCAACTCGGTATGCTTAGGCATGCAGACATGATCACTCTGCTAAATTTGAGAGGAATACAGCCAGACTCCTTTGAGCTGATAGGAAGGCAACAGTAATTCAAGTAAAAACTACAGTTACAACCAAAGCAGTGTCTCTGAACACACAACACATGGACCCTTGAAGCAGATGGGCTGCAGCAGCAGAAGACTGCACCTGGTGGCAACAAGCTGAGACTACGGTTTATATGGGCTCAGCAAAATAGCAAAAAATTAGAAAAATGTTGCAAAGTCTGGTGAGTGTCAACTTGTGCTGCAACATTCACAGTTATAATTATGCACAAATGACATGAAAGTATGATCAGGGTGCTGCTGCTGTGGTATCAGGGATATTTGCTTGTTGCACTTCAGGTCTCTGAGCTTCTATACATATATATGCAACAATATTAATATGCATTACTTTTATTGTTCATAATTATACATTTAAATATAAAAATACACTTTTAAACATGAGTTAGTTCCATAATCCATGAGGGGAAAGTGGAAGCCAAACCAGCCACTCTAGCCATTTCACGTTGACCAATACCTGTTAAACCTGAGCAAGCACACCCTGTGCAGAGGTTGTGCAGCAGAGGACAAACAAACTTTGCTTAACCTACTTTTTTTTTGCATGACTCTGTTGGAGCTGCGATATTTGGTTATACTCAGACTGCTGTGTGACTTTCTGCTGTTGTTCATGAGATGTTTACCACCCAGAGTTCTTTCTCTCTGACTGCAGTCTTGTGATTTCACACAGACCATAAATAAACTTCAACTAAAGTCATTTTCCTCATTTACAGTTACACGAGTGCTCACTCCAAAGCCGAATCCTGGCTTGCAGCACGTGTTGGTGACCAACACGGCACCGGGAGGAGGGCGCCAGGCCTGCCACACGTCAAACACTTTCTGCTTCATCATCCACCCCCTGTCCCCAAACACGAGAGCTCCCACTCTGACTCCAGAGTGTCTACAGCGGTGTTGTGTGTCTGTAATAAATGTGCCTGCCATATTTGGTATTTGTCTTGAGAGAGAACAGGAAATGCCAGATTTGGAAAACCTTTTAGACAAAAACTGCTAAAATGTAAAGGTCCCCTTTCCTTTCTGTCTTCTAGCACTGATATTAAAGCATAGCAAGAACATAAAGTAGGCCTGCCCTTTGTTTTAGGACTACAAAGTGGGAAGATAAAGACAACAACGCATGCGTGCAGAGCTACTCCCGTTCATGCGGACCGGAAGTTGCAAGAAAGTTTTACGCAGAGGGACTCATCCTGTCCGCACATCCTATCTGTGGTTTATCGTCAGCGTTTGGTGCTCTAGTTAAAGGACGTTGCCCTTGTTAAACTTCAACCGGAGAGGTCAGTTTATGTACTTGTGTTCTCCTTGAGCCGACAGCATCTTAGCGGCTGGAGGGAAACAAGGAGGATGGAGGTGAGCGAAGTGTCTTTGCTAGTATCTTTGAGTTAGCTTGTTTCCCTGTGAGGAGGTGAAAGCCTCTGTCACAGCCACGGGAGCTGCTGTAGTTGCGCTCGCCGTCGTACCTGTAGCACATATTGGCCCTTTAATTAAAATTCCGTGTCTCCGCTTTGAATTTATCAAAGCTGCTTTTTACAATGTGATGTGAGCGAGCTAGCACAGGAGAGGAAATGGGAAGAAGCGCGAGGCGTTCAACTGTCGGCGCGAGAATGACTGAACAGGAGATTCTGCATGATAAATAAAACCTGTGACACAAGTCTGTAAATGCTCAGGACCTGTTCCACACACGGGGAAAAACAAGCAAGTGTTACGCATTTGCATATTATTATATATAAAATAATAAATATAGATTTAATAAATAATTAATGTAAATATCAAATACAGAACTGTCTTCTAATTGTTAACCTCTAACCTTTCTAACAGTCGCCTGCTATTCTCACAGTAGTTTCATTCACTATTTATCTGCATAGCCAGAGATTTGATTTTTTGTTTTTTTGGATTGACTTTGAAGGCACCATGTCGAGCTGTAATCCAAGTACTTAACCAGACCAGCTACGTGGTTCCTCTTTTATAAACGTTACCCACATGCATGGCTTTGTTCCTCGACCGTGGTCCATGATGACGTGCGGTTGCAAGACTTCTGTTTGCCTGTAGCTGTAAAACACTGCGCACCTACCCTGAGGAAACTCTATGCCGTATGATTTATTCAGCAAACCTTTCCCCCAGTACACCAGACTTAATGCAAGCCATTACATAAGCTGGTCAGAGACCAAATATTTACTCGAAAGTTGCAGCATTGCAAATCAAACTGAAATCTTTGTCGGCATAGCAAAGGGCTTTCTTATTATCGTCACCCATGCTTGTAGAACTCATAACTATCTTGTCATGTCTTGTCCTCGCTTGCTCTGAAAAGGTTTAAGGAATGAGGATATACCAGCCGAGAAGAAAAAGCGGGAGAGATAAACTACACGGGACAGATTCTACGCCAGCCCTCCGGCCTCTACCATGGAGCAAGAAGAAGAAGTGGTGGCTGCAGCAGCTCGAGAGGATGAAGACTCCCAGCTGATTTACAGGATCGAGCGTCCTGTCTACAATGAAACTCTGATCCAGGCACAGCTTCTTAAACGCAAAGAAGACACCACCACAAATTGTCAGAAGCTGGCAGAAAAGTTCCAGTAAGTCTTTCTCTGGACATTTCCTGTTAACATGTCGTTGAACAGATCAGCATCGACATAGATCCACACACAAGATCCCAGTGTGCTGTGTAAACTGAAGCCAGAAGCCAGTGGGAAATCTGTGGGAGTTGATGTGCAACCTTCGAATGTCCTTTATTTGAGTGGAAAAATAAGACGTTTAAACACATTACAATGCAAAAAAGCTCCAACACTGATCTTCAAATAGATTATGTTGCATTCTAACATTTAAAAACAAATGAAAAAGTTATTCAGAGCTAAACTGCACAAACCCGGGATCCTCTGTCCCTGCTTTCTATTTGGGAACTGATGCAGCTGGGCAAGCAAAAAGGGGGAGAAGTCGGGGGTTAAACAAGCCGCCCGAACAAGGCTGGGAAATGACATGCTGATGCCAGCTCGCTGGCAATTTGGGACTGAGACAGGTGGGAGGGCTTACTGAGGGGAGCTGAGGAGGAGGAGGTCTTCATACAAAAGCAGAGATGTGCTTTGGAAGCGTACAGCGAGCAACCCGGGAGTTAGTGAAGAACGGGTCTGCACTCATAACGCAGGGGGCGAGGCAGAGGGTGTGGCAGAGCTCAGGGTGGGAATCGACACAGTGACACGTTAGAGTCATTTATAGAGATGCTTTCTTGTCATCTTGCAGAGGGAACAACAAACGTGTCATAAAGTTGTAAAACATTGATGTTTCTTAAATAACTCTTGGCTGTAGTGCAGAGTGAGGGTGAATGTTGGGGCTTAAATCTGTAACAGCAGAACAAATATTGCTATATCACTGAAATGATATTTCTGTGTTCTGTTAACCAGTGGGAATCACGTGGTGCTGCTATTAAATGTATAGGAGGGATATTGTGAAGCACGAGTCATACCAAAGTTCAGCTAACACGAGGGGGCTTCTTGAATCCTGCAGCATGAAAGCGACTCCAGAAAAACTTTGTCTGTGGAGGCTTTTAAAAATCTGCTTGGTGTTGAATATCCACAGGTGTTCTTCAGAGAAGGCCAAGGCAGCAGCTCTGAGCTTCATGCCTATTCTCTCATGGCTGCCGTCGTATCCAGTCAAGAAGTACCTCTTTTCAGACGTGGTCTCAGGTCTCAGCACGGGAGTCGTGCAGCTTCCACAAGGTCAGTGAACTGTGCAGCAGCGCCGTGTGAAGCACCGAGGCTGCGAGCAGGGCCGGCTGCGGCTCCAGAGCAGCAGTTTCTGCCTCATGCTGACTCTGTTTTGGCATCGCTGACACTTTGACACTGTGATGGAGTCACTGAACCTCCAGGATTGTTTATTTGGAAACGTGTTATCTTCCCTGCTCCACAGGACTAGCCTACGCTATGCTGGCTGCGGTGCCTCCTGTTTATGGTCTGTACTCCTCCTTCTACCCGGTCCTGCTGTACACCTTCTTTGGCACGTCCAGACACATATCAGTAGGTGAGAGAGCCGTCTCTGTCCTGACCTCATGGCCCTGTGTGACCGGCTCTGCCCACGTACAGTTACAATATGCTCGTCATTGTTCCATAAGCTCCGCCCTCTTATGTACTCCCCGCCCCCAACACACACACAGCAGAAAATTTCATGTTCTGTACAGAGGAGAGAAATTAAAGGTGCCGTCGCCACGGTGATGCCCCGACCTAAATATTTATCAAAATATTTATTTATTGTTTGAAATCGATCCAAACAGACACACCCTGACACGGTCTGACGTCTCCTTTCAGTTGGTGTTAAGGTTCTCGCCAAGAAAGAAGATTTTAAATAAGATGTATAAGAAGAAAGTGATTGTATATGAAGGAAACTGCTGCTTCCTGGATGTGGCACTGATTGCTAGCTTCTTCATTTTCCAGCGTGATGTTCGTTTGGAATAAAGAAACCATGGAAGCAGCTCCTGTTTCACTGCAGCTGTGTGCTCGGCCACGGCTGCTTCCTCACGTCTAACAGTATTTCCAGTAATGCTTTGCTGCCTATTATGAGGATAGGAAACTATAGCTGATTTGTTTCCAGCCTGACTCTCCTGACATTGTCCAGAATTTGTCTCTCATTGGCTCCACCTCTGTTCCTCATGTCTGCTTTCAAAAGATGGTGACGTTCAGACGCACCGAGCTGTTTTCTTTTCTCGCTTGCTTTTTGAGAGAAAAGACAAATGTAGTTAAGATGATGTCATTTTTACACGGTTGAGCTTTTTATAGATTTCTTAATCCACATTAATGGTGTCACATCCAAGTCTTGCAGGCGACGAGTCACTTTCCACAGCTGTGTCTGTAGTGACTGTGAGGTGCACTGGGTTACACAGTGATTCAGATTATGAGATGAAAGGTGTGGAGGAAATGTTTGGATGTGTGCTAACTGTGTGCTTAGCTTTCACGGGAGGATTGTGACATTTCAGCGACCTCACCCTGTGACAGCTTCCTTTCCTTGAAATGGGTCCAAGTCTCAAATGCCAGCTGTGACCTATGAGTCCCTCTGACTGTTGGACCCAATGAAGCACCTCGCAGACAGGAAGTGTTCCTGTAAAACTGTCACATGGTGAGGAAACGACACGTCACATTATGGCAGAGTAAGACACAGATGAGCCTGTCATCAGACAGCACACACTTGATGAACAGCACCAAAGTGCTGCAGTGATGTTTGGTTTAGTGCAACTGTGTGTGGCAGAGGGTTTCCTGAAAAAGGACAGGTGCGATAAAAACATTACGTTTCATTTTGTTAAAGCCAACTGTGCTTTTGCTGAACCTTCGTGGTCCTCTGCGTATGTGCGGTGGTTTGGATATTTCTCTGTGAAGAACAGAAAGAGCTGAAAGAGCTCCGTGCTCCCACAGACTAAACCCAGCATCCTTTCAGACACAGTGCTTCATGTCTCTCACACTTTGCATAGTGAGATTCAGTTTCTGCCTTCCAGACGAAGGCTTCTGCTCCCACAGGGCAGATGATCCCGTCACAGCTGTGTTACTTTGTAGCTTACAGTTTGTTCTTCTGCTTGCAGTAGTTTGTACCGTGGTTCTGTCTGTGTATGACTCTACCTACAGGTGCAGGTTCTGAAAGCAAATAAGAAAACCCCGTCATCACATGATAGACGAGGTGTGTGTGTGTGTGTGTGTGTGTGTGTGTGTGTGTGTGCGTGCGTGCGTGTGTGCGTGCGTGCGTGCGTGCGCGACGTCATGTTAAGACTCCATTCATATTTGACTGACATCCACCGAGGTCTTCAAGCTCCACTAATGATTTTATTGGTTAGAAACTGACAGAACCTTCTAACTTAAACTGTCATTCATACATGTGTGCTGATATGATACAGACAGTGCTGTATACATGCTGCTTTCCTTCTCACTGAGTGTTTATGGGGACTGTAAATATGACGTTATTACCTGATCTTCAAACGTTCCTAAAATGTTTTTAAAATTCTGATTAACATTGAGGAAGTGATGCTGGGGCTCACATCTGCATCCAAATGTCACCTTTGACCTCTACCTTTAAAGTAAATACTGCCCACAGAGGCTTAACCTTGTGCTCTGGTTTCAATCCAAGCAGGTTTAAATGTTTTTAGTCTCTTAGGCTGCGTTCACTCTGCAGGTCTTGATGCTCAATTCAGATTTTTTTGATCAAATCAGATTTTTTTGTCTGCTCGTTCACACTACAAATAAAATGTGACAGCAAACGCGCAAAAGAAGACGTCACACACAACGCGCTCTGTTTAGACCCAGAGCAACAGTGTTGTTTGACTGATGGCCCTTAATGTAAAGACTTTACATTTCCCAGTTTTTGCTTTAAGTTATTTTGTTATTTACATAATAATGTAGATAACGTAATAATGATCCTTGTTGCTGCTTCAAAGGATAGTTACAGATTTCTGTCAGAATCTGCAGATTATACAGAACAAATAAAATGTTCACGTTTCTCCAACGTTGTCTTCCCAGCAGTTTCACTGACATCTACACTGGATGGCCAGGAAGCGTTCGCGATGTCTTCTCCGGCGCTGATAATTGGCGTCTGTCTCGTGTCAGTGACGTAAAAGACGGATTTAATGCGACGTGACCATCAAACAGCAGGCGCTTTCTGAAACATCAGATATGTGTCGGATTCAGGACCACATACGAAAGTGACCCAGGTCGGATTTGTGCCGTTCACACTGTCACACCATGATTGGATATGGGTCGCACAGGGTCAGAAAAATCGGATTTGATGCGCTTTCGCCTGCAGTGTGAACATAGCCTAAGTGATAATCAGCATGTACCCACATCATTTTTGTGAATTCGAAAGTTTAGTAAATGTAAAAACAAAACAGCAAAAACTGCAACATTATAACCCCTCAGAATGTGTCTCCTGTGGAAGGTTTTTAAAATCTGAGCTTGACAGATGTTGTAAAACTTCACTTTCTAACATCTTCCACAACTGGGATTGTAAAACTCGCTGCCTCTAACTATGTAAAGACTGACATAAGCAGCAGGACTGAGATTTCATTAAACCCAGCCTCAGTTGTCTCACCAATCTGGCTGCTTTCTTTTCTCCAACACTGTCACGCTTGTCTCGATTGTCAGTTTAAATCCGTCCAACAAATGGGTCCAATAAACTAGACCTGCTCAACCCTTTGAAGCTGAGGAGCTAATCTGCAAAGATTGTAAATCACCGCTGGCCAAAATCTGGCCTGACATCAGGTTGCTGTGGGAATGATGACGGTCCCCTCTGGCAGAGAACGAGAGGCAGGACGGCCTTTACCGTCACAGGGTGGTGAGAGGAAAGGCCGGTGCGAGCACAAGTCTGCAGTTTCTGTGCTGCGTTTGAGCGCTCGTTGTACTCGACATCAGCTTTGACCCCAGCCTATCATAGCGCTGCGTTTGTGTCGATGACCTGCAGGTACCTTTGCTGTCATAAGTCTGATGATTGGGGGCGTCGCTGTGAGGGAGGCACCAGACAGCATGTTTATGAATATCAATGCTACTGGATCCAACGCATCTGATGCCATCAACGTGGAGCTTCGTGATAAGAGCAGGGTCCAGGTGGCCGTGATGGTCACAACCCTGGCGGGACTCATCCAGGTCAGCCTCCCACCTGCAGAGCAGCCGTGGCTAATCTGTTTATCCAAAGCAGCAGCAGCATGTCTGAATCACTGTTGATGTATCAACTCGATTTTAAATGTTTCTGTATGAAACATTGTTTTTCAAAAACAGAATGACCCCCCTCTTCTTCTGCATTCCTTTCAGATTGTTTTAGGTCTTCTCAGGTTTGGCTTTGTAGCAATCTACCTCACCGAGCCCCTGGTGCGAGGCTTCACCACAGCAGCATCCATGCACGTCGTCATCTCCCAGCTGAAGTACTTGCTGGGGGTGGAAACGCAGCGTTATTCTGGCTTTCTCTCTGCTATTTATGTGAGTTTTGAGAGGCCCTGTCTTTCTCCTTCCCAGAATGGTCAATGAATCGCTAACACTCACCTTTCTGTCACTGCAGAGTGTCAAAGCAGTGCTCAGCACAATCACCAGCACCAATATTGCCACTTTCCTTCTGGGGCTCGGGTGTATCATCTTCCTTTACGTGATCAAAGTTCTCAACGAGCGCTTCAAGAAGAAGCTGCCCATTCCCATTCCTGGAGAGATCATTGTGGTCATCGTGTCCACGGGCATCTCCTATGGTTTGTCGTTATCAAAGGAATACAAGGTCCATGTGGTTGGGAACATACCAACAGGGTAGGCCGCACACTCTATTTGTTTAAGTGTCTTTTGGTTTAAGCTCGTGTTCTCTACACGTATGTGACAGAGGTCTACAGATGTTGTCTTATTGGTTACAGGCTTCGCCCTCCTGCTGCCCCAAACATCTCGCTGCTGCCCAATTTGGTCACAGATTCTTTTGCTATAGCGATTGTAGGATTCTCCATGGACGTCTCGCTGGCCAAGATCTTTGCCCTGAAACATGGCTACAGTGTGGATGGCAACCAGGTGAGTGTGTCCACGGGGTGAGCTGCCGATGAGCCTCTGGCCTGTGTGTGACTAACTGTTTGGTTAGGACACTTTGGGTCTTCTGGATGACGGGACGTCCTCTAGCTGTTTGCTGCAAATCTTAAAGTTATATTTTTATCCTGCGCGCTGATATTGGAAATGCTGCTCACAAAAAGGTTCATTGTTCCAGTTTGTTGGAACGTGTTCATTTCATTGAACACTGAGTTGTTTGGAGCGTTGTGTAGTTGCCTGACTGTACTATTCGTTGAAGACTGAGCAAAGCGTGTCCTCCAGTGACACATAGCTGACACATAAATGCAGGTCACGCATTTAGCAAAGCACGACTGTGGAAAATATACGGGTCGCATTTTCCTGAAACTGTCCAAAGCTGACGTGTGAAAATGTCTTTTTCACGGTTTTCCTCCACGTGTCCACTTTCAGGAGCTCATTGCACTCGGTCTGTGTAACTTCATCAGCTCCTTCTTCCAAACGTTTGCTGTCACCTGCTCCATGTCGAGGAGTCTGGTCCAGGAGAGCACAGGAGGCAAAACACAGGTGACACACACGAGCTGCAGGAGTGATTACACTATCTAAATTGGTGCTGTAAAGCTGTTGTTAGAGTGAGAGGTGTGTTGATGGAGTTATTGCTTTTTATGTGTGCTTTAGATTGCAGGGCTCCTGGCGTCGCTGCTGGTGCTGGTGGTGGTGGTGGCCGTGGGCTTTGTCTTCGAGCCGCTCCCTCAGGTGAGTTCCTGTTTGATGTTTGGGCGTGACCTGTGAGCCTGCACACACCTAAATGTCGTCTTTGGCTGTCGTTTGCTTGTGTTTCTCAGACTGCGCTGGCTGCCATCATCATGGTCAACCTCATAGGGATGTTCAAGCAGTTCAGAGACATTCCCAGTCTGTGGAGGACCAGCAAGATTGAACTGGTCAGTCTTTAAAACCAAGCTTAGCTGACTTAAAGTGCACCGTTACTCTGAGAGGTGTGTATGTGAACCCGAGTGAATACACAGTGGAGAAGCTGAGCTTGCAGACAGAAGTGTGACTATAATGTGCAGGAGATAAATGCACGTCGTCTGAAGACATTTGCTTATGTAAAAACTGCTTTGGTCTTGCAAAACGCTTCCTCTTCATGCTAGTTTCATGTTACTTTCTTTTTTGTCCTCTCAGGCCATCTGGGTGATCGCCTTTATCGCTTCTGTGCTGCTGGGACTGGACTACGGCCTCCTGGTGGCCGTCACATTCGCCATATTGACAGTCATATACAGGACACAGAGGTAATGATTCGAATATGTGTTTTTCCTTGAACTGAAGCTTAAAGGCAGCTGTGAGTTTTCAAAGAGCAGGTTTGATTTGTGCTCTGAGCCGTTTTCTTTCTCCTCCAGCCCTAAAACTTCCATCCTGGGTCACGTCGCTAACACGGGGCTCTACTGTGACGTCGACGAGTATGAAGAGGTAAATGTGTGAGGAGAGAAACCTGCCCCGTGTGAAACATCCACACTGACCAAGCCTGCTGTTTGTGTTCTCAGGCGGCTGAATATGAGGGGATTAAGATCTTCCACTCCAACTCTTCAGTCTACTTTGCTAACAGTGACCTGTATGTGAACAGCCTCAAGGAGAAGGTAGCAGTGTGTTTGAGTGTGTGGAAGCAAACAGAAACCCTTTTGTGGGGGAAATGTGTGAAGCACTTATCATCACTGGGTCTTACCTGACTCGGTCTGAGAGGAGCAGCGTGAGCGTGTAATCATCTGGTGGTAGATACGAGCAGAGCTCTACTTTGAGATGAGCAGGAATCCGTTTGCTTGTGTTTTCACTGTCTTGGCTACAAATGAAGGTTTGCAGTTGTAGCCTGTTCACGTTACAGCTGAAGCTTCAACAGTTCAGTGAAAACGTTTCTACGTTTGTCATTTCTGCTTTTTTGTGTCTTCAAATAACTAAGAGCAAAGAATACATTTTAACTTTACTGTGTGAATTAAAGGTTTATCCAGTATCTAAGCACCGTGTGGGAAATATTCCCAGCCTCTCCCAGTCTTAACCTAAGGAGAAACTGTGCCAGCTTTACCAGCAACACCTGATTCCTAGGGATCAGTCTCTGTTGCTACTGTGGTGGCATGTTGAGTCCTTAAAGGGGAAAAGAGTCCCGTTGTAAGACCATGGACTGAGCTCAGTGTTTACGAGTCGCAGCCATGCCTGATCGCCTCAATAACACAAAGAGACGCTACAAGAGCTCAAAAAGCAACACGGTGCCACGACCAGCTGCAAAGGGTAACAGGGTCATTACGTTACTGCTTCAGAGCTTGGACAGTTGATGGAACTATGAATTCTGGGTAATTACGTTTTCACCTAGGTGCAGGTTTGGATAGCTTGTGTTGGTTAAACAATGAAATCACACGTTGAAAACTGCATTTTGCTTTTACTCAGGTTATCTTTGTGCAAGATTAACGTTTGTTTTGTGACAAATCAGGTGAAGCACAGATGTTACTGAAAGCAGTTGGTCATGTGCTTCATGCTTATTGTGTTAAAGTTTAAAAGTAAAGACGTTGACATGTGTTTGTTTTGTAAACATTGTTTCAGTTCTCATTTTTGTTTTTCATATTCAATTCAGCTTTATTTATACAGCGCCAAATCACAACAACAGTCGCCTCAAGGCGCTTTATATTGTACAGTAGACCCTACAGTAATACAGAGAAAACCCAACAATCATATGACCCCCTATGAGCAGCACTTTGGTGACAGTGGGAAGGAAAAACTCTCTTTTAACAGGAAGAAACCTCCAGCAGAACCAGGCTCAGGGAGGGGCGGGGCCATCTGCTGTGATTGGTTGGGGTGAGAGAAGGAAGACAGGATAAAGACATGAGATTAATAACAAGTGTATTATGTAATGTAATATGAATAATTATCAGGGAAAATGGCAAAATAAGACGTGAGGTAATGGTAGAGGTAAACGAGTGAGGGAGAGTTAACAGCTCTGCTGTGATTATGTTGATCTTTACAGACGGGGCTAAACCCTGAACACTTACAAGCTGCTCGGAAAGCCCAAAAAAAAAGAAAGGAGAAGACGAACAGCAATCGGTCGTCTCCGCTGAAAATCTGTGCCAGGGTGGGTCGCTGTTTGTCTTTTGTCTATCCAAACTTTGAGCTTTGTCAACAGGTTAAATACGCACTCATGTGACAGTCGTGTGTGTGTGTGTGTGTGTGTGTGTATATAATATGTTTTGTGGTGCTGCTTTGTTTCTAGTACAAGGATGAGACGGTGACTCATGACGTTTTGTCCCAGAGCCACGTGGCGGAGGATCAGAAGAACGGCCAGTTTGGCGACAGACATGGCGACTCAGAGGAGGCGGTCTTCCTTGAGCCTTTCAGCACAGTCCACTCCATCATCCTGGACTGGACGTCTGCAACTTTCATCGACTCAGTGGGAGCTAAAGCCATCAGACAGGTTCTGGCCCTTTCTCCAGCGCTGCACTGCACAGGAGCACCAGCTGCATATTTTCACTGAACTCCAGTCACTGTTTCATGGTGTAGAGCTCAAATACTAAAAACTATTATCTCTTTGTGCAGGTCATTAAAGAGTATGCCGCCGTAGATGTCCGGGTGGTCATAGCTGGCTGCAACAGTAAGTGACTATTAAGACTTTTCATTAGATCTGAAAATATCTGTGCACATGCTCTGTTTTATACGCACTACGTACAAAACGCAATTAAAACCCATCCATCCATCTATCCTCTTATCTTTACAAATTGCTGTGGGGACTATTTGTGGACCATGAACTGTTCATGAAACCAGTTAGAGGACTGGTGCTTCGTTACACATCGTCCTGCAGGAGTTGGTACACTGTGGTCAGAAAGGCATGGACGTGGAAATATCCCTCACACTGTAGCACCACTGATTCAGTGCAGGAGGAATCCATGCTGTTATGATGTTTGTACCAAAGCCTGCTACAGAAAGCCTGTGCATACTGCAACCTCAGGTTTCTGTTTGTAGCTGGGCGATGTGGCGCCCTGTGGTCTGATGCTGCTTTCCAACACGAGGTGCATTCAGAGAAGCTCTTTGGTGGTAACACGTGGTTATTTGAGTCACTCTTACCTTCCTGTCACGCTCGACACATCTTCTCCCAGAGAACTGCTGCTCGCCTGTTACGTTCTCTTGTTCAGACCGTCCTCTGTAAACCTCGGAGATGATTGTGTTGGAAAGTCCCGGGAACTTCTAAAGCACACCTGATATCTAGTCATGCCATGTTCATTCTGATGCTCGCCTTGAACTCCAGCTGATGTCTGCATTGAGCTTCTGCCATGTGATTGGCTGATTTCGATGTTTGCATGAATGAGAACATAAGGTCTGTAAGTGGAGACCTATAATAAAGACAAGTTCCACACCCTGGGGTCATAATGTAAAGGATGGAAACAGGCAACAAGCGCTATGACAGAACTCTGAAAGTTTTGGTTTGAATGATTAAGCCTGTGGTTCACAGACTGAAGCCATTCCTGCAGTAACAAACAGGACGCTCCTGTTCTGCACATTTGGGATTGAAAATGAGAAGATATCATTTGGAACCAAATGGTAAACATGATGTCACACGATATATTTACAGTTCACTTTCAGTATATTGGCTCACGAGCGCTCAGGATGTTTTCAGAGTGGCAGCTAGCCAGAAGAAGGCAGGGATGAAGCTGCAGCGGCTCGTTTCACACTGTAACAAAGCTGCTGTCCAAGAAGTGAACACAGCAGGTTGCTTTAGTTGCTTTGTGTGCCCTGTAAATGGAACAAAGGTATCACTGCAGGAATGTCAGTGTCTGCACAGAACGTTTATTAGCCCCGCTGCAGTGAGTCTTTCCTTCACTGAAGTCTGTTTGTGTTCAAATGGTTTGAAAGTGGTTGTTGTCATTGATGTAAATACTGAGCCTGCTGCATGCTTCTCTGCAGGAAACCTGCTGGCTGAACTGGACACCTTGAAGTTCTTCACTAAGGACCTGACCACAGACTTCCTGTTCCCCACCGTCCACGACGCCGTGCTCCACTGTCAGCACTCAAACTCTCACCCGTCTGTGGCTGCGGTCAGTGACACGACCTGAGAGGATGGGACGTAACTGAGAACAAGTCACAGGAATGGGACGTGGTGGCGCTCTCACAACCTCACTGTGAACTTGTTTTCAGCTGAAATATCAGGAGTGTTTTTCAGTCTTGTTAAAGTTCCAAAGCAGCAAGAACATCGTTTTAATCAGAACCTTCAGGATGTGGCGTCCAGCCTGATTCCTCTGCAGTGTTGACGCTGCACTTTAGTCATGTTGTAGTTCTCACTGTTTGCTGAAGTACTTTTTAAAGCTGCAGCTTTGTCTACATGATGTTAGCAGGTACTGTTGGAGGCCTTGTTGTAAACATGTAATACTGACCACCTCATTATCACGCTGGTACCAAATTGTTACCTATAATCTGTCAATATGATTTTTGTTATTCTGATCTGGAATGACCTTTCCAGTCTGTTTGCAGTGTCATGTTGCCGTTACTGTACACTTGCATTGGTATGACTCATATATGAATGCAGTGGACAGCTTTAATTGTGCTGTTAGTGAACGACACAGGAGGCCTTTCAAGCTCCCTGTGCTTATTTTGTTAAACACTGAAACTGAAATCTGGAATAACTTTTATTTTTTAGTGAACAACAATAACAACAAAACAAAATCCTTTTGACTCTTTTTTTTTTTTGACAAAGCCAAATCAGACACAAGCACACACTCAGTTGTAGGTCATGTATCTGGGAGTGGCGCTGAACTTGGCGTATGATTTGATGACCTTGTTAACGGCTTCCAGGAAATCTTTCTCTGTGGCGATCTTCCTGCGGGCCCTGATGGCAAACATTCCTGCCTCGGTGCACACGCTGCGGATCTCGGCACCTGAAAGGAAGCACGATTTAAGAGAGTGCTCAGACTTTCAGAGAGCTATTAAACCTGTAGACGACCTTTATCCCACGCTGTCAAGCCGTTCAAAACAGTTTGACTTGGCTGAAATACAGGATCGTGTTAAAGGACAGCCAAGACTCAGACTCTCATCTACTTTAACATAACATACTTCCAAGTTTATAAAAGGCAATAAGAAACCTTTCCAAGTAACAGGTTGCCCCCGTGTGGTCATACATCAGTACTACACTAAGAGGTCTGAACTCTTCTAAACTAACAAGAAGTCGATAAACAAATTGGAAAAATACTGGAAGTTTAGTGCAGCGGTCCCCAAGTTTTCATTTGTCTCTGACAATATTTTCACAGACCGGCCTTTATGATGTCGCAGATCAGTAAAACAAAATAAAACCAGTACTGGTACCAAACACCGGGAAAACACCCAGGGAAACCAAACATTTCACACCCAAGCCTCAACTCTTACGGCTCGGTACCGGTCCGTGATTTGGGGACCGCTGGTTTAGTGTCTCTATGACAACGGCATTCTGAAGGAAAGGACAGCTGATGTATGCCACACCCACACGAGCAGGAAACACTAAAACAGATAAAGACGCAGCTGAGGGAGACTGACTCGACAGGAAGTAACGTCTGCTCTGCAGTCTTACCGGTGCTGTTGGGACAGAGGCGAGCCAGCAGCTCAAAGCGGATGTCTCTCTCCACACTCATAGAGCGGGCATGGATCTTGAAGATGTGGGTGCGACCCTGCAACGGCGGGTTTAAAGATGGTTGAATTGGACAGAGCTACATCAGAGAAGTGTAACACAGTCCAGTTTGAAACTCACCTCAAGGTCAGGCAGGCTGAACTCGATCTTCCTATCCAGACGTCCGGGCCTCATCAGGGCCGGGTCCAGCGTGTCCGGCCTGTTGGTGGCCATCAGCACTTTGATGTTGCCTCGAGGGTCGAAACCATCCAGCTGATTGATGAGCTCCAGCATGGTCCTTTGGACCTCGTTGTCTCCACCGGCGCCGTCATCAAAACGAGCACCTGGCAGGTTCAGAGGGTTACACGCTCAGAATGGATTTCTCTTCACGCTGGATTAAAAGGGCTGCTGCACGTCAGTGGATGTTTTTTGTTTTTAAGTAATGAGACTAACCTCCAATAGCATCAATTTCATCAAAGAAGATCAGACAGGCCTTTTTGGTCCTGGCCATCTCAAAGAGCTCACGCACCATCCTGGCGCCCTGTGAACGAGTTCAGGAAAAGTCAGACGTTTACGAGAATCAACCTTCCTGATCTGAACTGCAGCTAATCTTTCTTTTCGTGAGCGCACCTCTCCCACGTATTTCTGCACCAGCTCGGAGCCGATGACTCTGATGAAGCAGGCGTCTGTTCTGTTGGCCACAGCCCGGGCACACAGGGTCTTTCCGGTACCGGGGGGCCCGAATAGCAGCACACCTTTAGGAGGCTCGATTCCCAGATTGACAAACCTCTCAGGCTGGTGAGAAGAAAAAGACGACAAGTGAGCTCCCATGTGCAGAAGACAGTTGCTTCACTCGTGCCTCAGTGGTGGTTCTAACTTTGGAACACTCACATGGAGCAGCGGAGTTTCAACCACCTCTCTTAGCTTCTCAATCTGCTCCTTGCATCCACCAACATCACTGTAGGTCACATCAGGCTTCTCTTCCACCTAAAGCAAGTGGGCCAAGGAGTTATCACATGCAAGCAGACAGATAACCAAACACTCACAAAGTATCCTCGCCTCCCAACCTGCATCATGGTGACAGTGGGGTCGATTTTCGGAGGCAGAGGAATGTGGATCTGATACTTGTTTCTGTCAACCCTGGAAAAACAGAAAGGACACTAAACTTAGCTTGCGGCTGCCGGAACCTTCTGGAAACTATGTAACACCTCTAAATCATGTTTCTGCCTCACCCCACTCTCATGCCCTCCTCGATGTCAGTTGGAGCCACCTGGTCACTCAGGTCCACCACAAACTTGGCAAACTGTTTGACGTTGATGATGTATTTGGGATCCTCAGAGTCTGCATTGATGATCTTTGTGCATCTTTCAGAAAGAAATAAATAATCATGAAGCTACATAATGGAAATGCTGTGGAAGGAAGTAGGAAAGCTAAGAATATTCCCGTCAGATTAACAGGAATGTCGCTCGAAACATCCCAAAGGGAAGATCAGCGATGTAACACCACACTTTACATTTTGGTGATGTTAAAGTCGAACATTTACCTTGCTACCTGCAGCGGCTGCTCGCTCTGCAGTGTCTGCTTGTCAGCAGCTAGATCCCAGAGAGCCGGTGGAGCCAGGCCTGTGTCAGACTCCTTGATGCCTGTGCAATTAAAAAAAACTAATCAGACACAGCATCTTGTGCAGCCCTCCAAAGTACCAAAACCGTCCATATATACTCCTCTGATAAAGCTGGACAACCGTTCCAAATTTAAGATGATCCATTTTCAACAACAATGCAGCCCTTTGCATTTTTTGGAGTTAAAGTCAACTAGACGTGCCTTTTTAAAATCTACACTGGCCCCATAGCTGTGGGTTGTGGTAGAAAAGGTGATCTCTCTTTGTGTGTTAAACTAGCCCAGAGTACAGGCTGGCACTGGGTGGCTGGGAAAGGCCAGCTAGACAGCTGCATCTGAAGTGACAGGCCGTGCAAGCACCAAATAATTAAATCAAGGAGTGAAAATACACGAGATTTAACTGGCACCTAATGAAACTTAAATGTCCAAATGTATTTGTGCAACAGTGTTATTGAGTCCTGTGCATGTTGCAGGATAATCAGTTAATATGCACAGGACCATGCAGCTGCAGTTATCATTGTGTCTGTAACTTGGGACGCACAATTTGCTAAACTTGCTGATTTTGTATTGTTTCTGGATGCAACAAAATTCATTCAGGATCAGGCTTCATTCAGAAGCCTTTTCTGATCTGCGTCTCCTGCTGGAATCAACGAGCGACCTTCCACTTGTCAGCCTAATGTGTAAACCACTTCTATGGAGCTACCAAATACTTCCTGTACTACTGTTGGTTGTTAGAAATGAAACTGAGAATATCTGAATACATTTATAAGTTGTAATGGTGAATTCCAAGTAAAGAAAATCTAAGAAAGCCGGAGTAAAACCCCTGATTTTGACCCAGGACTTGAAATCTGGTCAGGCACAAGTGGCCTCCTAAGCTGGAACTTTTGAAGGTTTAGAAAGTTAGTTCGGCAAATGAGCTTTTCAAATAAATGCCGTTTTATTGCTTATGTCCGGTTTAATCACCAAGTCCAGTAAGAAGCTTACTGAGAACATCTTACTGCCCTGCTGTGGCACACATGTACTTCTGAATTCGTCGCTCACCCGTCAGCTCGTTTATCTTCTTGAGCAGCTGCTGAATGTCATCTTCCACTTGTTTGATCTGCCTGGAATAGGTACTCTGACCCTGGTGGTGAACAGCAAGCAACACATTCACTCACCGTGGAATCATTTCCTTGACACTTGCTTGGTGTCGTGGTTTGAAAGCCATACTTACATATGTTTTGAGCAGAGCGATGTCGCCTTCATCCAAAGCTTTAAAAAAGAATCACAATCACATGAATGCGTTTGCACTCCGACACTGTTGTCGGACTGAGCGATGCAGTATACACAAGACTTTTTATTCCACCATCAACACATATTTATAACAACATGTAACAAATACATTCAGCAGGAGCAAACTGTTTTCAACGAGCTAAGCTAACATTAGCAGTGTTGCTAGCTGATATCGACGCTTCCTTTCGGGAAATAATATCTTAGGGTTTAAAATAAACGATTTTAGATATACCTCTAATAGGGGAGTCACCCTTCTCCTCCTCCTTAATCTTCCTTTGGTCGTCTCCCAGATAGTCCGGCATGTCTAACGTGTGAACAAACTGTCCGGTCACGAACAATCAGGACTGCTAAACTCTACAATTACACAGCAGCTTTGGACTTCCGCCGCTATGCGCAACTTACCGGAACACACAAGCGGGGATTGTAGTGAGGATGTACCAGCTTTACGGGTTTAAAAAATATAATATTATCATGTTGTTCTGTTGGGGGCTACAGAAATCGTGTGCGTATCATTTTTACATCCTAATTATTAGAGAAACTGTGTGACATGTTTAGCTAGCGGGGCCAGGTTTTAATCTACAGATAAATACCAAAACAAAAACGGCGGAACTACAAGTGACGAGGCGCGATGAGACACCCGGAGGTTTTAGCGGTGTGACAGCAGAGCTCGTTCTCGGATTGGCAGTGGCAAAAGGAGGCCCATGTGGTAGAGAGCGGGCCACAGACTGTAGCACTTTCTAAAGGTCTCACTTGATCATTCGGGCATCTGAATGTTCGCGTAACCTGCTTTGAAAATGCTGCTGGAAGCGTTGGATGGGGACGAAACGGTTGTCTACAGAGCAGCTGCCGGTAAGCACTGAAGGAGGTCAGAGGGAGGCAGCTAGTTGAGCAGGCACTCTTACACACTGACTGCTGCTCTGCGTGTTAGCATGCAGCTAAACAGAGCACACAGCAGGCTAACATTGCCGGCTAATTTGAAGCTCGGTAAAGTCTCTGCGTTTGTATTAGTTAGCCGTGTTGTGTCTCGGGTTATCCAAACGGCGTTTGTCGCCGGGTTCACTCGCTGCCGCCAGAGCGTCTCACCAGCTTCACCGGTTAGTTGGCTTCTACTTATAATTATTATTATTAATGACAGACTAGTTTGGAATTTCACAGCCTTTCACGTGGAGCAGTACCTGGCTGTTACGTAAGGGCTGAA